CTACTCCAAGTTTTGAAGCAAGAGTGGGCGAAAGTCCCACAATCTAAAATTGACGAGATGATTCTCACTTCGCACGATGCTTCAAAGAATCAACAAACTCTAAGAAGCGAAAGGAAGATCTACTAGATATTAATTAAATTATAAATATATCAATTCATGTGAATATGACTGGAAAATTTCATTTTTTCTGAAAAGGTGGTGTCTAGTTACTTATGACCTCGCTGTGTTCGTCTATATGAGAGAAACAGAACGTTTAAAGTTCTTTTAAAACTATATATAGAGACATGTATATGAGAGAAGCGGGACGTTTACGATTCCTATAGAATTATATGTATGTGTGTATATATATATACATACATATGAGAGAAACGGTAAGGTTACTATTCCTGCACAACTATATATATATCTATATGTGAGAAGCAGGACAGTTGCGATTCCTATACAAGTATATATGTATATGATAGCATCCGGACTGTATCGATTCCTAAAAAAAGTATACATGTATACGAAAGAAGCAGGATGGTTACGATTAAATAGGCGATTAAATCAGCTATATAACAATAATGAATTACATATCGCTATACCGTTATCGGTCCTGGTTGTCAAATTATTATCATAACGGATAATGTCTGTGGTAATAGCACCCGAATGTATTGGTGATATCCCATCTATCAGATAAAATCCAAACGCCGATGTCAATCTAGTCAGCCGTCATGGAAAATCATAAAAAATCAATCAAATAAGGGTACGAAGCTGAGTGCTTTCACCCACAACGTCTTAGCTTCTACTGCCTTTTACTGTCTATAACCAGTTGTGAGAAGTCAGTTACTCTTAAATTTCTTAAAGTAGAAATGAACTGAAATGGATCCACCCTAGTATTTCTACTAATTAAACTCCCAACCTCCACCCTTGCAGAAAGATATCAAAATGAACTATAAAATATTCAATAGAACTAAATAGATCTATAAGATTTTAAATAGAACTATATACTCTAACTTAAAGTTCTTATACTGTTCTAACTCTCAACCTAAGTGTTCTAAGGATTTACCCCTGACGTTGGATAGTGTCATTGGCGATGGTGACACTACCCAACTTGATTGCGTTTTTAGCTTTTTGCTAGACATTGGTCTTTCTTATTCTATTTATTTTTTTGACTGCCTTATGGGCATTGTTTCAATTTTCACTTGTATTATTTTTACTCTTTATTACGTTTTACTTGTTTATGCCTTTTTAACGGTTGTTTGGTCCAGATAGCCCAGCTACTTCGCGCCATAAATCCCCAACCAACTAAAATTTTAAAGTGCAAAAATAATTTTCAAGAAGTTTTGCTTCTGAATCGCATATCAGTTTTTGTAAATACAATAAAACCGAAACAGAATCTTCTATTATCTAAATCACACAGGCGTGATTTAGCTAAACAGTGTGGCGTCCGACTACAATACGCAGGTGTGATTCATCTAAATAGCGTGGCGCTCAACTACAATACGCAGGTGTGATTTATCTAAATAGCGTGGCGCCAAACTACAATACGCAGGTGTTATCTATCTAAACAGCGTGGCGTCCGACTAAAATTTGTAGGTGTGGTTTATCTAAACAGCATGGCGCCAAACTAAAATATGTAAGTGTGATTCATCTAAACAGTGTGGCGTCCGACTACAATACGCAGGTGTGATTCATCTAAATAGCGTGGCGCCCAACTACAATACGCAGGTGAAATTTATCTAAATAGCGTTGCGCCAGAGTAAAATATGTAGGTGTGGTTTATCTAAACAGCGTGGCGCCCAACTACAATATGCAAGTGTCATTTATTTAAATAGCGTGGCGCCCGACTACAATATGCAGGCGTGATTTAGCCAAACAGTGTAGCGTCCGACTACAATACGCAGGTGTAATTTATCTAAATAGCGTGGCGCCAGAGTAAAATATGCAGGTGTGGTTTATCTAAACAGCGTGGCGTCCGACTACAATACGCAGGTGTGATTCATCTAAATAGCGTGGCGCCAGAGTAAAATATGCAGGCGTGAATTAGCTAAACAGTGTGGCGTCCGACGACAATACACAGGTGTGATTCATCTAAATAGCGTGGCGCCCAACTACAATACATAAGTGCAATTTATCTAAATAGCGTGGCGCCAGAGTAAAATATGTAAGTATTTTTTTTATCTAATCAGCGTGGCGCCCAACTACAATATGCAGGTGCCATTATTTAAACAGCGTGGCGCCCGACTACAATATGCACGTGTGACTTAGCTAAACAGTGTGGTGCACGGCATCAATGTGCAGATGTAATTTATTTATGCAAACACTGTCCGGCTCCAATATTCGGGTATTCATTGTACAAACAACGTGGTGGACAACCACAATACGCAAGAGTGATTTATGTAAACAATGTGAAGCATTACCTAAGTGTCCAAATGTAAACAGTGTGGTGTAAGACTTAAGTTTCCAGGAGGGGTTTAGTTAAATTACACCTGCGTGTAGTCATTCCAAGTCCAGTAGAGAGCTAAGAGAATCTGTGTAAATAGTACAGTTAGTGTACTGCTTAGCTTCTAGGTGGTCCAAAGCAAGAGAAATGGCATACAACTTGGGAGTGAACACAGAAACTATAGAAGCTTCAACAAACCATGGCAGAGCCCACAAAGTCATCTGATTTCGAACCATCTGTAAAAACGGAAACAGAAGAATGATTCGAAAGATGTTCGGCAAAGAGAAGATGGTACTTCCAATGAGGAGTATGTTTTCTCCTAAGATGACTCAAGGAAAGGTCACAAGTGGGGATGGTAATGAGCCATGGCAGGATGAGCTGATCATTGGACTCAGCAACGTCATCCAGTGATAGACCCAAGTCAGCTAGGTGTGCCTGGATATGAAAGCCAAAAGGAGAAATGCAAACCATCTATTCCCAAAGAGCAAAGCCCATCAGGGAATTAAGACACAACCCCAGGTAGCATGCCATTCTAAGGATCGAAGCTTGGTAGCATAAAGCAAAGAAAGTTGGGAACGT